TAAAGATGGGAACGTGAGACACAGAAGGATGAAGGAAAGAATTCTTGTAAGGAGGAAGGAAACAAGGCAGGGACAAGACTGGGGTGGGGGGAGGAAATGAGGTATTGATAATGGAGGTGAGGGGGGAAATGGAAGTTGTTAGTGAGAAAGAAACACCAGGGGCTGAGGAAGGGACAGAGAAGAAAGAGGAAAGGGGAATGGGTGAGGAGAGAGACATGAAAAAGGAGTGGGCAAAGAGGCTGCAAGAGAAGAGAAAGGAGAAGCACAGAAGCAGTGGATGGGGTAAGAACCTGGACTGATTTCTTTAGCATCGGGTAGAATCCTGATTGTCTGTGTCAAGATGTAACTACTAGGGGTTAATCATGCCAGCATTTGTACAATTCAAAAAGGAAAGGGTACAAATGGTCTATCTGAAAAGTGGCATCAGCTTGGTTCTTACCTGTCAAGAGATGACATTACAATTGGTACTACTCCTGTTGATTTGATCATTACATCTTGTCTGTCAGAAGTTCATATAGTACCACTCTAGTAAGAGAAACTGTTCCTATCAAGAGATAAGGAATGCACCTTCTGGTAGCAATGGAGTGGAAACTAACCAATCTGAATGTTTTTAGGTGAAGGAAGTGAATCTATACTTTGCTGTCAAAGGCTACAAGCAGTTTCGTAAGAATTAAGCAATATACATAACCAAAGCTTCTGAGAGTTACAGAAGTATTTACTTGTTCTAGTCAAGAATAAAGAAATCACTTATACCTATTGGTTTTTAACAATACAGCTGATTGTATGGAGAGAAAAAGATAAACCAATACAGCAATTCATCACACAGAAGGTGAGGATTTATATTCCCTGTTACATAATGAATCCAAGGACAATTCATTTACCTGTTGCCTGACAAAAATACAGTCTGTCAAATGTTGATCTTTGCAGCAGGTCATATTTTGAGATGCAAGGGTGACAGACGGCTGTAGGTTACAGGAAGGAATTAGCTGATCCATCCTTTTAAGGAGGTAAGAAATGCAATACGCCATTCGCATAATAGTAACTTATTCTGGTCATACTTTCAGGTGGAAGAAATGTAACTGATGAAATCTTCATCTCTAAAGAGCACAAGAAGTTGCTTTACTGAATAAAGCAAGAAAAATGGGAGCTACTGGTTCAGATGTAAGTAGTCGGTAATTCTAACCAATGATGATGATCTTTGCTCCTTTTTCCTTCCTGGATAATGGTTGGTTTTTCCTACAAGGATGTAACAAAGAAAAAGTGCAACTAACCAGAGTGAGAAGATGAGCATTTCACCTGGTCTCGCATTTGCAGAGATTAATTGTCCAACCGATTCTATTTGTACAGAAGTGATCATTGTTGCTTATTTATCAAATGGCAAGAAATAAGTGGAACTGATCATTTCTATCAAGAGGTAAGGAAGGCACCTCCTCACAGCATGGGGCAGGAATTAAAGACTCTCTTTCTATTTTCAGGTGAAATGAAGATCTTCCAATTAAAGGGAGGGTGATAAGAGGCTGCTGAATTTAAGAAACAAAGTCAGCCAGGTAAGACCTGGCCACAGGGAAGAAAAGCATCTTTTACTTCTAGTTCAGAAAAAGTCAAGCAGCCATTTATATGCTTCAAATTTTAGCCACGGAAGCTCGCTGTACCTCTAACAATCAAAGTCTTGGGGTAGAACATTGCTGACAAGTAGGTGAGCACTGAAAGGTCTCTAAAAGCTTAATGATGTGGATGCTTTAAAGAACCGTCTCCATTGATGACTCTTCATAGCTGGTAATGAGTAATAATAAATAATTCTGTCGAACATTGATTGCAGGTTTTTCTAATATGAGATATGAACAGACCAGGTGGTCATTCCTACCAGGGAGAAGTGAGGGTAAGTGGTTGTCCCGGACAAGGAGGTAAGAAATACCAGTCTCCAAACATCCATGTGTAGATCAAGTGGTGTGGATTTGCCTTTCTGGGAGAAGAACTGTGGTGGACTTTACTTGTCATGGGGAGAGTATGAAAAGCAGACGCAAGACAAAGCAACATGGACTTGCCACTTGTTCAATCCAGGAATTAGCTGATCCATCCTTTTAAGGAGGTAAGAAATGCAATACGCCATTCCCATAATAGTAAATGATTCTGCTCATACTTTCAGGTGGAGGAAATGTAACTGATGAAATCTTCATCTCTAAAGAGCACAAGAAGTTGCTTTACTGAATATAGCAATAAAAATGGGAGCTACCTGTTCAGATGTAAGTAGTCAGTAATTCTTACCAATGATGATGATCTTTGCTCCTTTTTCTTCCAAAAAGTGCAGCTAACCAGAGTGTGAAGATGAGCATTTCACCTGGTCTCGCATTTGCAGATATAAATTGTCCAAACGATTCTATTTGTACAGAAGTGATCATTGTTGCTTATTTATCAAATGGCAAGAAATAAGTGGAACTGATCATTCCTATCAAGAGGTAAGGAAGGCACCTCCTCACAGCATGGGGTCAGGAATTAAAGACTCTCTTTCTATTTTCAGGTGAAATGAAGGTCTTCCAATTAAAGGGAGGATGATAAGAGGCTACTGAATTTAAGAAACAAAGTCAACCAGGTAAGACCTGAACACGGGGAAGAAAAGCATCTTTTACTTCCAGTTCATAAAAAGGCACGCAGCCAAATATATGCTTCAAATTTTAGCCACGGAAGCTCACTGTACCTCTAAGAATCAAAGTCTTGGGGTAGAACATTGCTGACAAGTAGGTGAGCACTGAAAGGTCTCTTAAAGCTTAATGATCTGGATGCTAAGGAACCTTCTCCATTGATGACTCTTCATAGCTGGTAATGAGTAATAATAAATAATTCTGTCGAACATTGATTGCAGGTTTTTCTAATATGAGATATGAACAGACCAGGTGGTCATTCCTACCAGGGAGAAGTGAGGGTAAGTGGTTGTCCCGGACAAGGAGGTAAGAAATACCAGTCTCCAAACATCCATGTGTAGATCAAGTGGTGTGGATTTGCCT